CCTTCAACAACTACTCACATTTCCCAGAAACTGTTCCATTACACAGGCTCTGAATTTTAATTAACAAGGTTTTTCTTATTTCTTATCTTTTGTATTAGTGTTGATAAATACTTTGTGACACAGAAATGAGCTAATCTCACTTGGGGAATCTTATAGAAGACTGCAGAATCTCTATCCTTGGAGACTTTCAAGACCTGACTGGACAAAGATTAAGCAAATCAGTTTGAATTCAGTGTGAGCTCCGCTTTGAGCAGGAGATTGATCAAGTGACCTCTCTCATCCTTCCAACCCAAATAAGCCCATGATTCTAGATTAAAGGAATTTTTTCTTAAAATAGCCATATAGAATTCAAAGTTCAAACTATTTGAGCAACTACATAAAACACATTTTCTATGTTAGGAAGATAATCACACATTTGCCTTGTAGTAGATCTATAATAATTTGTATACCTTTATAGGTATGCAAAGTGGTGTAAATACATTCCATAAAACAAGAGATAATGACAATTGGACAATTTCCATGACCTTTAAAAGATGAGATGTGTTATGGTACAATACAGCCTCACGTTTAGTTTTCTGTATCTATACTTTTCTGTACTTTAAACCAACACCATGCATGTCATCTGCAATAATCAGATTACTAAATGATTAATCAAGTCAGTAATAATTGAAATACACTTGCCTACATTTTAAATGGCTATCTGAAGAAAAGAGACATTTTCTTTATAAATAAGATGGAACAAAATTTACGTTCACATTAAATCAATAAAGTAATAAGAAAACACCAGCATTTCACACTCAGCAACCAGTATTTGAATGGTCTAAACATTTCATAAGCCTATGTAATTTAACTCCTCAATATTTTTTTAAAAACATACAAATTTCGTAACATTTAACATATGTAGAAAATGAAAATGGTAGGTTAGTTGATTCTTACAAAATCAGGGAAACTCTCCTAATCAGAGTAGAGATACATACTCATAAATAACTATTATACTTTTTATATTAATATTTAATAACAAGAACCAAAAATTCAACTGTTTACATCACTAGATGAGTTTTAAAATGTTAACAGTTATTTAATTTTTTATTTAAAACAGGAAAGAACCATAACTTATTAAGAGAAAAAAAATAATTTCTCTGCGCCGTTAGCAGAAGATTAGGACTGTATTTAAACCAGAAACTCAGAAGGGAAAATATTTTAACATGACATTCTATTAACTTTAATGATATTCAGATAGTAAAATTTCTGGAAAAGCTTTTTAGCAGTGTACATTTAAATTAACAGTCTTACATAGAATACAATTGCAGAATTTAATTATAAAAATTGTCAATCAATCAATCACATATCATTAAAGTTACCAAGTATTAAAACTTGAGCTCCTTAGATAGCTTTGTAATACCTGTCTGAGGAAAGCTAACTTGTAAATCTCATTCCAGACAATGAAATTCTGTAACTGCTTACTTTTCAGACCTAAATAAAGAAGACTATTTCCTTCAATTCTGTTTAGAAGGCAGATCCTAGTTTACCAATATTGTTTTGTTTTATTAGGAAATGGTTTTACTAAGAGGCCCAGCACTTGACAAGTTTGACTCATAACACAGAGGGGAAAAAAAGAACTCAGCTCAGAGGAAATTACTTCCTGATGAGAATAATGTTCCTTCAGCAGTAACCAGAAAAGATTACTTTGAATGAATATGCATATGCTTGTCACATAAATTTTACAGTGCTTTAAGACTGAAGTCCAACACAGAATCACAAAATCACAGAATTGTTGAGGCATGATGGAAGGCACCTCTGGAGGTCATCTGGTCCAACACCCCCACTACAGCAGGTTGCCCGCAACCATGTTCACAGGGCTTTTGAAGATCTCCAAGGAGGGAGACCCCAAGGAGAGCTCCATTGCTCTGTCACCTACACAATAAGGAAGCGCTTCCTGATGTTCAGGCAGAACATCCCGTGTTTCAGTTTGTGCCCACTGCCTGACACCAGGCACCATTAAAGAGTCTGGAGCCAGCTTCTTTGCACACTCCCTTCAGGTTTTTATAAACATTGATAAAATCCTCCAGAAGCCTTGCCTTCTCCAGGCTGAAGAATGCCAGTTCTCTCATCCTTTCCTCATATAAGATGCTCCAGTTCCTTTATCATCAATGTGACCTTTCATTTCATTGTCTCTCTTTGGTCCATGTCTCCCTTGTCCTAGGGAGCTCAGAACTGGATGCAGTACTCCAGGGCAAGGATCTCCCTCCCTATTCTAACTAATTCAGTATTATCTTCATTCCCACATTCCCATTATAAACATGTTGCTTTTTTATTTATTTTTTTTTTAATAATAATGTTACATGTTTTAGTCAGAACTCAGGACAGACTCCCTTCACAGTTACAACAGGTTGTCTATGCATAAACACCATTTACTATTACCTTGGACAGCACCAGTTTTAATGGATACAAAGCAAGTCATTGGCTAGTGGCTGCTGAGTCATGATTCATCTACCAGCCTTTGAAACTCGGTTCTGCTACAGATTTCTCATATAACTTTAAGCAAGTCACTCTTGATGTCCTACTCCCTACATAAGAAAAAGAGGTACAAGTCTGATATGTGCTGCTAATACATTAAAAAATATGGCCACACTAGTTTTACACTGCCATAATAATCTCAGCAGGGCTCTAGTCAGCAAAGAGGATGTTGCTGAGTTTCTACCCAGACTCACATTTCTGTCAGTGTACAGGACACCATTCTGTCACAGCCAGATTGTTCTGTGTTTTCATGCTAGCTAACAAGGCTAGCTTGTTATGTCTAAATGAGTTGCTGTGTATGCATAGTACAGGAACATAGTAATAAGTGTATTGCATACTACAGGAACACTACATGCAACCTCCAGAGGAAAGAGAACATGTGGAAACCATGGACACTCAATTCTTGTGTAGGACACTAAATTATTGTGTAAGATAGCTAACTTGCCTATACAATCAATTCCTATCGATCTCACTGGAAATTAGGCAACAGAGAGGATCCGGGAAAGCAAGAAGCTTCTCAGCAGTTTTAAGTAAGAACAAGAGATTATTAAACAAAAGTGAGAGCGTCCTGCAAGCTTAAAGCAATGTGGTAGAGCACAGAACAGGATATTAATAGGAAGAGTTAAAATAGTAAGGCTGCTCCCTTTTATTTTATTTTCATAGGAAAAAACAAGTCGTTCTATCTTCTTTTGGAGCGAAGTATTAAGACCACATAGCTTCAGTGACTTCAAAAATTACTGCCATTAAAATAACCTCAGGCTAGAAGTATTATTATAATCAACAGCTGAGGTGATTTATTGAACCTGCTCCACAAATAATCACTTTCTACTCAGTTTCATACTGTTGTTTTCATATACTAGCAAAGTACTATAAGGTTCAAAGGGCAAAGGAAATATGATTATACCAGAACAAAACCATTGGAATTTATACGTCATGCAGATGTTTCCACCGGTTTTAGGTTTTCTAAAAGCATATTGTATTTTATACCCAAATGTTTATCTGACAATTGTCTTCAACAACATAGATATATTTCTGTTTCTAAAAACTGTACTGCAAACAGAGCAACACACCAGAAATGGATTTGGTAAACAAGAATTTCCTTTCAAAACCATAACTTGATGAAAATAACACAGACTCAATTTAAAAGAAACAGCAGTTTTTGCTTTGTTTTATTTTTTCCCAATTGTACTTGAGAAGAAGTACTAAAGTAAAAAAGGAAAATGATTTAGGAAAGCTAACAGACAATATGTAAGTGAAAGTGAAATTATTCACTTTATTTAGCCACAGGTGTATGTAGCCAATCCATACAAAGATTCTACAAAGCTGTAATTTGTAGAGACCAAATCCTTCAGATTGTTATCAAGCAACTCTCCTTGTTGCTTAGATAGCCCACCCCACTAGGAAAAATCCACACCATTCTCTTAAATCTACGTTACAAGAGAAAGCTTTGTGAGAATGATGGCACACACTAGAACACTTCCCTGTCTCTTACATGTCCACAGTATTTCACTAATTCAAGGTTTCCTGAGTACAGCATGTTCCAAACTTTCTCTCCTAAACATTAACGAGTACAAACTACTACCTTTTCTTAAATGTTTAACATAACTTTAAAGAAAACTTGTCAGTGTAATATTGAAAATGATAGAGGGTGGGGAGCAGGAAAAAAATTGCACAGAGATATCTTAGCCCATTCAGGTAGATTCCATCACCAAAAATTCCTAAAATCATTCTTCAGCTTAAGACTGGCTATGAATATTTCTATTTTATATAGCCAATTATACACTAGAAAATGCACAACCAAAGAATCACAGACTTCACTGCCTTAAATGACACCTTTGATGCAAATTTATGAGTTTTCATCTGAATTATTTTGCAACAAAAATAAGGTTTTCTTACCTTGGTGACCTGATAGTGATCTAAATCCAGAATTAGGATGAGCCCATTAAAAAAAAAGGAGGGGGAAAAAAAAGGCAAAGATGGGAAAAGTTGGGGCAGAAGGAAGACTAAAAGTAGCAAGAGAAGACTGGCAGCCTAAAACAATGGCTGTAGCTTCCGGAAGGAAAACTGAAACTTTAGACATGGGAAATATGATAGAAGAATCTAGCCAGCTTGAAGAAATAAAATGTCGGATCACACATTCAAAAAGGGAGCAAGCTAGAAGCATCAGCACAAAAAGCTTGAGATAAGATGTTAATACAGAAGTAGTGAGAAAAAACAGTGGTCTAATATCAAAGAATATTACAGCCAAAGATCTGGTCCACCACGACAGGGAAGACAAAGGGGAAGACAGCGAAAGTGAGAGCCAGCAACAAGAGAAAGGAATGGGAACAGTCATAAGTAGTAGAGGACATGACCAATTGAAACCATCAGATTTTACTAGCTGAGTCTGAGCTTCGGCAACTTCTTTAAATACCTTGTAAAATTGTTTACAATAAAACACAAGTGTCAGTATATGGGAGGATATATGCTTAGAGTTGATCCACAATTTATCATAAATTGCTATGACATTTTGATTCTGTGCAAAATAAAAATATTACTAGTAATTTATGTTGACAATTAGATTTTGCAATCTACTATAAGTTACATTCCAATATTCACAAAGTAACATGCATTATGAGATAAAAAATGTTTATAAGACTTACAGGCTGCTGCAGATCTGGCAGATCCATGAGCCCGTATGTTAGCAGTAGCACCTTCACTATTAGGATTTACTGTGGAAGCCTTAAAGCTCTCAAGATTCCATTTCTCCCATACACATTTCCTTGGTTTCAGACCTGGAAAACAAAAATTAAATTTAGAAAAATGTTGGTGTTACTTTTGAAAATTACCCCATGAATCTTTCCAAATTAAATTAAAATTATTTTATTTCTTTCCTGATTCCAATGTTCAAATTTTTATGCCCATGCTCAACCTTAAGCTTAGGAGCCACGCCTGTTTAACTGAAATATAGCCATATATTTAAAGTAAACCAGCATCTTTATGGACAGATTTTGCTATCTCCTTTCCACTTCTGCTTGGTTTTGCACATGAACGAATATCCGTATTTTGTGGTTGTTCTAATTCCAGTAATTTAATACATTTGCATATTTTTTGGTGAGGTTGTGAATTACTCTGGCAGCAATACATAATTTACTTTACTCAGTGGTTTTCAGTGTTCATTCCAGTAGAATTTTGCACAGCTCCCACACTATAAATTTCATGCAGATACGGAATCTCTGCCATAGCAATAGTCTTCTAGTTTCTTGGGGTTTTGTTGTTGTTGTTGTTATGTTTTGTTTTGTTTTATTTTTCAGTCTGACTAAATTTTGGTTAACTCTGTCCATCATCTCTTTATAGTGGTTACACATTACAGACTCTACTGTGGGTTTATCCAGCTCTTCCAAGTTAAAGGCCCACTTGAGGTTTGGTGCACATAACCTTGAAATACGTAAACCTTCTCTAAATTAGATTTTTCAGGGTATTTTTTTCTATACATAATTTTCTCTGTCTGTAACTAAAAAGAAAATTCTGCCCAAGAAATGGTGACTGACATAGAGAAAGGTTTTGAGAAAATGTTTTTGTATTTTGTGTCTACTTCAAAAACATATTTCTATTGCATTTGTCAATCAGTTTCAACATACAAGGTAATGAATTCCACATTGTTATGAAACCTGAATAAATGAGCACTAAAGATATAAATCTGCTCTAAATCTAAGTTTTGGAATGGATATTAAGTAACGTATACAATCTAAGAATCATAAACTCTTACTGTTAAGACAGTAAATACAGATATTTGATCACAATACTATTGCAAGAGAAGCTTCTAGTATAGGTACAGTCAAAGCACTGTAAGAATATTTTATACAAACTGACTGTTTTTTTCTATAGAGAGATCAAGGAATGATCTCCTAGTCTTCTGTTTAACTAAAATATATATATATATGATTACTATGCTCAGCAGCTTTTCTGGTAATAAGTACAGTTTTTCTCAGGGCTTGAATTTTAAGACTTGTATCCTAACTGCATTTATGTGCTTACCATAGATTCTTCCAAAATATTTCTCCTACAGGATATCATGAAGAAAGAAGTGAAATTAAATCTGCATTCATCAGTTCAATTATAAGCTATGTCTTCAGATACAATTATATCCTTGCTGGATAATTCTGCAATAGTTAAGCACTTTTACAGCTAAAACAGTTATTCCAGAACAGTCACTGCACTAAAGCAACGACTGGGCTGGATTACAGACTGTATATAACCTTAAAAATAGAGTACTTTCTTTTCAGCGTCATCCTGATAATCACCAGCTCTAAAAAGATTATCAGTTCCTATCCACTCAAACTTTGAGACATAAAAGCTTTGAAAGACAGAGACATCAGAGCTCATATAGTTCTAATACGACACGAATAAGGGGGGCTAGATTTTCAGATTTAACTTTGCCCTGGAAATAGCTTCATTTAATGGGGTAAATATTTAATTCTCATCTTATACATAATCTTATCAGGATATACAATCATCTTATACAGGAACATTTCCAAAAGTGTAGGTAGATTGTATCATGATAGAGAGATAGAAAGACAAGCAGGTTCTGTGAAATGTCTCACATTCTCAGCAAGACTTCCTCACTATTGAACACCGGAAGGTCCAGTTCAGCTTATCTCACCATGCAAATAAATAATTAGAATGTAGTATGCTTCCACAGTATCAGCTGCGTTCACACAATAGAATACTAAACAGGTTTGCCAAGACATTTATACAGCATAGTTTAAAGTAGGTTATGTACTTTGACATTGTTTTGCCAAAAACACTTTGAAATGTCAGATCCAGTTTTATTTTTTCTTAAACTAGAAAGAGAAATAATGTCATGGATATCCAGCTCAGATTCTTTTTCTTCATTCCAGACTACTGTTTTACACTGTTTATTCATATTTATATACCAATAATAATAAGAATAAAGATATTGTTATCAGTGCTATTATCAACATTATCACCTGAGCACAGACTGGCAGCTTTGACAATAGTATTCCCAGTACTGAATTTTCTATATATGTATATCATTACTAGGGAAAAAAGCATTAGATTCTCACTGAAATGTACATCTGGTGGCCTGGACGAAATATGTCTCATAAAAAAATAAAACACAAAAGAACAACTACCAGTACCTGATATCCACTGAAAAATTAAGTCTACCAATCCATCCTTAAAATCATCATCAAAATTTTTAATGGATTCAGGAAACGCTTCACAGAACGTGACATAGATGACTTGTGACAAACAGTCAGGATACACCTACCAAAATAAGAATAACACTGTATCTACCCAGGTGACAAGAAGAGCTTTCATATTACGTTTTTTTTTTTAGTTAATGTAAAAATATTAAAGTGAAGTGTAGTAATTGCAAAGCCATTCTGCTAAAAAAAAAAAAAGTACAACCTTTTATTACTTCTGTGAAACTTTAGGCAACAGTATCATCTGTAAGGGAACTGATTTGGGAACTCAATAATTTGCTTAGCCAATGTATAAGTCTAAGTCCCCAGATAAGACTCAGATAGACAATACTAATTTAAACAAATTATGTACTTTGAATGAGTCGCTTAGGGCTAAAATTAGGATGCAGAATAAAGCATTACATTAATAACATATTAAGTATATTAATTTGTTAATATTTAGCTAATCACAATAGTTAATTAAAAACAAGAAAATTGGAAATATCTCATCTTTTAATATTGTATTATTCATACATTATGTGAGCCAAAATTTGACTTTTGATAAAGAAGTGATAAGTTCTCTCTTTTCTTCAATATTTCTGTTTCCTCTCTTCTACTTACATGCATGTATCTCCAGTTCTATTTTGTACCAATTGCTGCCAAACTGATTACATGTAAATTTGTTTATGTGACATATTAATAGTTTTATGAGCCCAAATATAGTATCTCTATATATATCATTGAAAATACTACGTAAGTGTTCATTTACCTGATAAAAAGTGTCTTTAGCCTCAATGGGAACAGGAAGAAAAAGCACCACAAAGTTTTCTGCAATTCTACCAAAAAAGTGGTCTTGATCTTCTTGGTTAGGCTTCAAAGGGAAAAAACAAATCAGGAGAGAATACATCAGCGTAAATTCAGATATTGTTGTGTGCTGATATACTGACGCAAGAGATTACTGAAGCTCATGGTTATTCACATATGATGGGAGGCATTGACAATGCAAAGGAGCACCACTGAAACACTTATTCCTAAAATAATTCCACCTCTTCCTACAATATTTTGTTCTAAATGTATTAAGAGTTTTTTTTTGTTTTGTTTTTGTTTGTTTTTTTTTGTAGTATATTGCAGTAGTTCCTGATTCAGAATAGCACTTAAGAATATGAGTTATTTGAAGCATATGTTAAATATATCAGCTAATAATTAAGATGGACTCTAAGTGCTGTACTGAATCAAAACCTGGTGTACATAATCATAGTCTCCTACCATGTGAGTATTTTCCTTTTCTTCTTAATAATTGTGACTACCCAAGATAATAGAATACATACATTAACTTATGTTTGTAACCTAAATATTGCAAAATCATATCCTATGTAAGTCCTAGCACCGTTACAACTGTGTAGACAATTTTGATCTAAAGGCATTGTAAGCATCGTGGTATACACCTGCTAACTAAAGTAGCTCATCATGTGCTCAACTACTGCTGTTTAAAGGTACATGTAAAGTTAGTCTTGGACCTACATTTGATGTAATTAATCTTAATTAGTAACTTGCTGCATTTTTTTACTTACAGAATCTATAGCTTATTTCTTTGATAATAACAGACCAAAGAATGCCTTAAATTCATCTGTACCTTAAACTTTTGGAGAAACCACCACCAAAAAGAATCCTGAAACACTGAAATAGATGATGTTGAGAGAAACAACCTTCTCCAAACTTTAAGAATGTCTTTCTGTCAAAACAACAGTAAAACATTTATTATATTGAGATTTAAAAACAACAACAACAACAAAAAATAGACAAAAAGTACAAAGATTTTCATTTCGAACACAGTCTACAAGAAAGTAGGAAACTTCTTTCAGTTCGAGGAAATACTGATGGAAAAAAAGCTTGCAAAGGAAATGCTTAGCTTTTACTGAGAAGAAAAGGTACCTTTGGGTAGCTCAGCATTAAGTTATCAAAATATGGGGATTGATCTGCATTTGCTGGATACCTGCAAATCTCTCAGCAGTTTAGTGCTTTTATTTTCTGTAAACCTTACACTAAAAGTTTAAATATATAAAAATATATTATTGGATATATATATTATCCAAAAAAGACAAAAACTAAAGTAAACAGAATGAATAAGACAGCAAGTCACATTTGTTACATTAAAATCCTAACATGATTAAAAATATTTAAAATCACAAATATTGTAAATTACCACAACAGCAAAGCAAATAGAGACACTGGATTAACTTTGACATTAGGAGGCAAGCACTGATTCTAAATTGTGTCAGAACTCTGTACAGAAGCACTAACATGATCTTGATATTCCTTGCGTCTTGGTTAGCTCTGTACATTTGCACATATTCAAACAAAAATCTTAAACCAGTCTTACAATGACTTTTTAAAAAATGACTTTTTAAAAAATGTGGTATTCAGAAAGCTCTATGAGGTTCTAGCTTTGTATTAAAAACAGAGCTATTAGGAATAGCTGTAGATTATAAACTCATATGAGACTTTTATCCAGTCTAAATAGTAAGGTCAGGTTTATGAAAAAAAAAAAAACAAAAAACAGTTTTATATTTTGTAGGACTAGAGATTATTTCTGTATTGATATTGTACTTTCAACTTAAACAAGAATATTTCTGTTTGTATTTAAATATTTTTACTCAGAAAAGTTACACTCATTCACAGATATGCTTTGTGTCTTGTCAGTGGGCCACTATTTAGACAGAATTTATCAAAGCTGCTCAGTAATCTGAAATTTAATCTGAAATTTAAATCCATCCTCCACTCTGCACTACTTCTTTCAATCAGCGTGACAGTATTTGGACTGGGACAAATGACAAGAATTAACAGTTTCTTTCCTTTATAAGTATATTCATTCAGAAAAATGTAATATATAAATAACATAACATTTCCAATATTCTTCAACTGTTTTAACAGGATAGACCCGGTGAACTATAGGCCTGTTAGTTTGACCTCAGTGCCAGGGAAGCTCATGGAGCAGATTATCTTGAGTGTCATCGCGTGGCATTTGCAGGGCAAGCAGGCGATCAGGCCCAGTCAGCATGGGTTTATGAAAGGTAGGTCCTGTTTGATGAACCTGATCTCCTTTTATGACAAAGTGACACGCTGGGTGGATGAGGAAAAGGCTGTGGATGTGGTCTACCTTGACTTCAGAAAGGCCTTTGACACCGTTCCCCACAGCATTCTCCTCAAGAGACTGGCTGCTTGTGGCTTGGACTGGTGCACGCTTCGTTGGGTTAGAAACTGGCTGGATAGCCGGGCCCAAAGAGTTGTGGTAAATGGAGTCAAATCCAGTTGGAGGCCGGTCACTAGTGGAGTCCCTCAGGGCTCAGTACTAGGGCCAGTCCTCTTTAACAGCTTTATCGACAATATGGATGAGGACATCGAGTGCACCCTCAGTAAGTTCGCAGATGACACCAAGTTAGGTGCGTGTGTCGATCTGCTCGAGGGTAGGAAGGCTCTGCAGGAGGATCTGGATAGGCTGCACCGATGGGCTGAGGCCAACTGTATGAGGTTCAACGAGGCCAAGTGCCGGGTCCTGCACCTGGGGCACAACAACCCCAAGCAGAGCTACAGGCTGGGAGCTGAGTGGTTGGAAAGCTGCCTGGAAGAGAAGGACCTGGGAGTGATGGTGGTCAGTCGGCTGAATATGAGCCAGCAGTGTGCTCAGGTGGCCAAGAAGGCCAACAGCATCCTGGCTTGTATAAGAAGCAGTGTGGCCAGCAGGGGTAGGGAAGTGATCGTCCCCCTGTACTCGGCTCTGGTGAGGCCGCACCTCGAGTACTGTGTTCAGTTTTGGGCCCCTAACTACGAGGACACAGAAGTGCTTGAGAGAGTCCAGAGAAGGGCAACGAAGCTGGTGAGGGGCCTGGAGAACAAGTCCTACGAGGAGCGGCTGAGGGAGCTGGGCTTGTTCAGCCTGGAGAAGAGGAGGCTCAGGGGTGACCTTATTGCTCTCTACAGGTACCTTAAAGGAGGCTGTAGTGAGGTGGGGGTTGGTCTGTTCTCCCATGTGCCTGATGACAGGAAGAGGGGGAATGGGCTAAAGTTGCGCCAGGGGAGGTTGAGGTTGGATGTTAGGAAGAACTTAATTGAAAAGGTTGTTAGGCATTGGAATGGGCTGCCAGGGAAGTGGTTGAGTCACCATCCCTGGAGGTCTTTAAAAGATGTTTAGATGTAGAGCTTAGTGATATGGTTTAGTGGAGAACTGGTTAGTGTTAGGTCAGAGGTTGGACTAGGTGATCTTGGAGGTCTCTTCCAAACTAGATGATTATGTGATTCTGTGAACATAGATTGTGAAATTCAGTATGTATAATACTATTTAATGATAAGGTAATTTTCATAGTCACAAAAGTATTTTTTTATTTTGATTAATAATAAATTCTTATTATGAAAAATGGATCAAAAGTCTTGATTTCAGTGTATCTGATGACACCAGTAATCCAAATTAGTGACAGTTTTATGTTAGTAACAACTAGGTTCATATTATTTTTAGGAATCTGTTCTTTTTCTTTATACATATTTCTTTAGCAATGCAATCCTACTGATGCTACATAATGAAGCAATTTTTTATATCCACTTAAGTTATCAAATTTTTAAAACGTTTCTATAATTAGAATCTAAATTCATCCTTAAAATAAATTACTTTTCCCCTTATCATTAAATTTATATGCTAAGTATGTTTATTTATCTAATTTGTATTAGATTACATTAAACATTTGCATTTTAAAAATAAATATTAATTATGGATTACAAACTTCCACTTCAAGGGAAAACTAGAAAAAGAATCTAATGTACTGTATCTTGGCCTTTCACAGTGCCATTAATTCTTACTCTACTCTACTACAAAATGACTTATTCAAGGAAAATGTTATCCTGGGTCAACTAACTGGTGACAGGAATAGAGATCACTACCTGAAGCTGATCACATAGACAGGAGAAACATAGCTCTAAATTACCCCTATTTTTCAAACATTACTGAAAGTACTGAATTCACACACAAAGAATATGCCTTCTCATATGTCTGCTAGGGAAATAACTAAAGAATTTAAAGACATCGCTAATTCCCACTGAAATCAGTAAAAAATTAGAATAGAAAGGTTAGTGTTACAATAATACTCTAAACTGCCATTTACAAATCTCATGGCTAATTTAGTCCAGGTGGAAAAGCTTTACCTTTACATAGAAAAATTACCTCACATCAGTCATATAAAAGATGGGTGTATGCACACCAAAGGAATTAGCAAATTGTCAAATAAAACCTTCCCTGCCTGACAAAACAGAACTGTTAACTAGCATTAATTAACAGTACACATGAAGCATCTGGACATTTTTCTGTTGCAGGTCATATACAAAGTGTAAGGAGTATCTTCACTTTTTAGGCCCTCAGGTGGGAGATAAGGATATACTAGAGTATGCAAAAAAAAAACCACCAAACAAACCAAAAAAAAGCATGCAATTTAAGACGATGTGTAACATACATGCCAAAGGAGACTGAAAACAAAACAAACAAACAAACAAACAAACAAAAAAGCATATTCTATATTGTAATTCTGGGTTTACCTTGGTTTTGAAATTCTTTTTAAGTTTAATATTAGTTTATCATTATTTATTTTAGTACTTTCATTATTGGTCAACTCTGGGACACAGGACAGGGCAGCAAGAAGAATCCTCCAACAATAATGACTCCTAAACAGAAAAGCTCCTAGATTTGTCGGTTTTGTAACTTCAAGAAATGCTAACAGCAATACTAAAACATGTATGAAAATGAAACACGATGAATGAGTCAAAATATTTGCAATACTCTTTATCAGCAGCTTCTGATTAGGCTACTGAAACAAACAGTACATACTTGGAAATGCTGAGCTTTTATAACTAAGTTCCAAAGTTTTGGAGCTTCCAAATGTCTTGGTAATTCTAAAAGTTGTTTTATCTTGAAACCAGGGTAGTTACAGTTCTAAAAAGAAAAGAAAAACCTTTAGTAACTAAAGCTGATTATCATGTTCCCTTTGTGTTAATGTACAGAGAAAATACTATTTCAAACATATACTTTTTTTTTTTCTAAAGTAAGAAAAAACTATTTCAAACGTAAACTTTTTTTTTCTTTTCTAAAGTAAAACCTAAAGACTATTCTATAACAGATGTGTTCACTTGCTGGTGATGCCATTCTATAAAATATTTTCTTTAGTAGTTGCTTTATTTTATTACACTAAGAATCGGTCAAAATACATGAAATGACCACTGCAGTCTTTGATATAGTTTGTTTCTTGTGGATTTCTACTTCCTCAAAACTTTATTTTCTATCAGAAAATATGACTAATTTAATTCCATGCTTTTTTTTTTTTTATAGTTGTTGGGCTTTTTGCTTCTTTCAACCTATATATATTATTTTTTTTCAATTTCAGATGATATTAACTATTTCTTGGCCACTTTGACTATATCTGCTCTGTCTCGTCAGCTCTGGTATGAGTTTCCAGTCCTGCACAAACTTTTGATTGTCCATAAAGCTGAACTTTAATAAGCCAAGCTACAAATATATTTCCTTATTTTAAAAATTTGCATCCCTCAACATATTAACTCTATGGATTATTACTAATTTATGGCCTAGTTTGGGGAGTATTCACATTAGTATTTCAAATACCACATTCAAATATAAGAACTCATTTATGCCTGATTATGCCCAGAGTTTAACCAACAACCAAGACCTATTAGGGTTGAGACATTCCAAACAATCAAGAGACACATTTGTTCTTCTTCAAGTCCCTCGCCTAGCACACTGGAAAGTCACAGACACTAGTCTCCAAAGATGTGACTGTAATATGTCAAATGAATAATATTAATCGCCATATTTATACTATGTGGAATTTCCATTATGCAATATATCTAAAATAATATAGTCTAGAAAAATTGATACTGAATTCTGAATGAGTGAATCTCAAGAGTTTTCTTTCCCTTTGGTATCGGGGGTATTTCTCTGATTTCCAGTTTGAAGAATATTCATAAGACAAAATACTACGTAGTTTTAAAAATATAATTAATGTAATAAAGCTCACCTCTACGTTTGTACCTTTTGATTCCTCAACAATGTATTTGGCAAACTGAAAAATGTTTAAATTCATTATTCAAAATTAATGCTATTTCACGGAATTATATAAATAGTATTTTCAGCTAAGACAATTCATAAAATGAAATGTGAATTTACTTGAGATTAGGAGCAATGGTTTAAAAATGAAAGTTATATGTATTACAAAATATCCTTGGAGATAACAAAGAAAAAACATTTTTCAAGGTTTTTTGTTGTTGTTATTGTTTTGTTTTGTTTTGTTTTTCCCACAAGCATACAGAGATAAATGTAATCTCACTTCTGGATCCAAGGAAAAGATTTGTAAATTTTGTCTTTCTCATTTAACCATTAAATAGAATAAAAATAAGAATATACCTTTACTTTTTGCATCTCACTTGTCTGAGTCAGTAGTTTTTCTGCATCAGTTTGCTCAGAAGTAATCTTTTAAAAAAAAAGGCAAGTTTTAGCGAGAAATAGGGTCTGGATTGATGACTTTATGGATTAAAATTTAATCAGGCAAAGACTTTTCAAAAATCTGGATCTACATCTAAATGTGTACATGCATAAAACTTAACACACTGTATCATCCCACTGCATCACTGGAATGATGGGAAAGCTTAAAAATACCTATTTTTATCTTTCTATATGTCTCATATTTTCTTTATAACACCAACATCTGTGGAGAATAACATGTTTTCGTAGTCACTTTGGTTAGGCATGAAACAAAATGTTCATAAGATCTAGGCAGAAATGGAACTTTAGCTTATTAGATGTTTTTAATTACAAATTTAACACTTCACATTTACAAAATGAGGAAAAGCTGAAAACAATGATCTGGAACAGCACCTTTCATTTAAATAGTACCTAGAAAATTTGTAATGTGCACATTTTATTTTACTTAAATTTCTAGAATTTAGCAAGCTGTTAACCTTCAATTTGTATCTACATATGCAGTCTTAATTTCTTTGGCTATTACTCCAAGCTGTTTCCAAGAAGTAGGCAGAAATCACCAGTTATGTAGGCTTTTTAAAGGTATTAGATTTTTTTTTTCCTCATTTTCTAACTACAGTTGCTATTTGAAAAATATAAAATGACTATTACTCTGTTCAAGGTCAATAAGCTGTTCCTCTAGATATGCTGGTCCACACTGTAATGAAGATATTTTTTCAGCATGTTTCTTTAGATCAGTGATGCATGATTTTATTCTGTTCTCCAAATCTGAGAGTGAGCTGACGTTCAATGGAACATGTTCATATAGAGACTTAGATAAAGCATTGAAGGAACAGTCTTTTTGTAACTTATCCACCAAAGAATGAGGCTCATCCAGAGAGATGCACCTTGGCCAGCTCTTCTGTAATCGGTACATAGTAAAAATAGTTATTTTTGAATATAATACAAATTAAAAGATTAAATGAGATAACCTGTGAAATTTATTTTGAATAAAGATTTGTAATACTGGCATAAATGCATTTTATGTATATCTCATAAGAACTTCTAATTTTGGCAACATTATTAACATAGACTGCAATTTCCTCCTGTCCCATGTCCTGCATCCAGAGGTGATTATATCATCTCAAAAAGAGAGAAAAACAGAAATAGGCCAGGGAGGCCATTAGAGTATACACAGAGTAATTAAAAAGACTATAACTTTTCAGTTAGAAAAGGAGATAACTGAAGGAAAAAGGGGTTGTTATGTTTCAAAACAGACAAATAAAATCGCGTTCAATTTAAGTTCTCTGAAGGGATGGTAATGCCTTCCATCTGTTGAGAACAGTCTCGGAAGCATAAGAAACTCTGCTCCTTGGTCTAGCAAAGAATTTAAACTAGTAGCTTAAATATTAGAACAAATTGTTGAAACCAGTAGTAGTCTTTTGAAGTTAATCATCAACTTGGTTACTTTCCTGAACTAACTTAGGAAGCGTTAATACAGAGTAGTCAGTCTGATTTTAAAACTTCTAATACAGCTGAAAGACAATGATATGTTCTATCATAATAGTAGGACAGCAAGACAAATTATTCACCACTACCACCCCCAAATCAAACGGAAAGCAAACTGTTAATACACGTGTTCATTTTAGTGTAAAAAGGGAAAAGTAAGTAAAACCAATTAGAAAATTAAAACATAATCATATTTTGTTTTGATGTTATCCCTAATTAAAATGTTTCATTTTTTTTAATGTAAGATTGCTCCTCTTAAAAACATGTCTTTTAAATAAAAATTAAATTCTTATAAGGAAATGTTCCACTTGTCAAAATATTTTTACACATTGTTGTGTCATTGTTTCTGTAAGAAAAAAAGTTTTGGTTCAATGCAGAAGATCAATTTTTCTCATAGTTCTGTAGTTAAAGGCTTTGAGTGAGGCTTTGATTTGCAAATAATGTAGGTAGGTCAAAAGGAATTTTCTGTTTCCTCCAAAAATAATGTAATTTGGAAGAATCGCTGATATCCACATTATATTAAATTCTTTAACAAAATATAAAGTCATATTGAAAGATTTCCTAACAGTCTTATCAGTACAAGAAAACAAAGAAAGCTCATTAAAAAACAAAACTAGCTATTCCCCTTGTCATACTCATCAGAATGTTTTGCCTCAGGACTCAGGACTTTGTGTTATGTTAGTAATGCTGTGGACCAATCAAATATTTTAAACAAAGCTTGGGTCTGTGTCATCACTCAAGCATGATTCCAAGAGTACAAAACTTCTATACAGCAGACAAAAACTTTCTCCATGGTTTACCTTTGAGAAAAAGGAGAGTTAACAACAGAAAGGTTGCTCTCTTGAAGATTTGCCATTTCTACAGACCTCTTAGTTTCCACTGCCTGAGGGTCTAGGAAATACAATCTATGTTCAAACTCAGTTCTCAATATTTATATTCACATGGCTTTGCTCACGACCCCACTCCTGCACATTCACTTCACCATACACATGGGTAGTTAAAATAATAAGCACTCAGACTCACCAAACCTTGAGACTGTAAGAATTCTTCAAAAGTCAAAGGAGGCTTTTGCATTTTTCTACTGACATACGGTAAGAATTGTCCTTGCCAGAATGCCTTAAAAAAAAACTAAGATAACACATATCAGCATGTACTTAAACTTTAGATAATTAAAATTGACAGTCAAAGCAATCACTGTAGCTTACATAGAGCATGCTCATGGTCATTTCTTGCAATAAACAGAAGAATCACCCCACATTCTTAATAGAAACATGCTGAAAATGTGAAAAATACTCAGTTTTTCAGTAATCATAAAAAATAATCATAGACGCAAAACTTCCATTTTCTTCTAAATATCTCCACACAAAATATTTATGATATTTTTAATGTACTTATAAAATGCACACACACACACACAAAGCGAATGTCCCCATCACCTGGTCGTGCTGTTTTTATATATTCAGTTTTTGTTCAGGAGCTGCAAGCAATGTGAGGGAAGCAGATTAGCAGAAGTCTTAATGAAATCAGTCAACTAGTATATCCCAGCTTCAGCACAATTAAAAACACAAACACAAATTTACACTGTTACTATGTCTGAGCAGAAACCAAATTTGAGAAATACCTGTTTAAATATATATATACGTACATATTTTTAATAACTTGTGAAATTAAGAACGTGAAACAAAAACAATATAACAACAATTTCATAGAATGGTTTTGTTTTGTTAATATCAGAGCTTTCAGGTGCACATAACTGCACAGTATAAAATACAAAGCAGTAATTCAGATTTCAGATCCAGCCTTTAAACGATGAGCTCTGTTGTTCCCAAAAAGCTCCTCTCTGGATTAAGCATCCAGGGAAATCATTTAAGCAAAGTAGGAAATAGGATGTTTAGTAAAACCAACTATAAATAATTTGGCAAGAAAGAATTTTAGAAGCTATTACAAAAGTCTTCTCTGTGTGAAACATTTGTCATTCCAACATAATTAACAACTGCATATCAAGAGGTGTTGTCACAGCATGAGAAGAAAAAATATATGTATCATGAAAGGTCGACTTTTTTCTTACTACTGCAATGTATTACATACTGCTAGCATGAAAAACAAATCAACTCAAAGCAAAACAAATAACAGAATTCTGGTAGATATCCTCTGCCATTGACTGCAATACCACTGAGGTCAATGAGGTTTTAGGGATGTAACTGAGATCAAAGTTTGGCATGAAATCTGCCTATAACGTTAATTTTTTCCCCTAAGGCTATTGTAACTAATATATCACAAACTTTATTTGACTGAGTCAAGAGAAACATTTTCTACACCAAAATTACTGCTTCAGTTCAGTCATTTCAACCTAAAAATTCAGTTACTAAACACAGAATATTGGATGTTACTGTAGAGCAACATCCTTAATCAGGTCAAAGAGTTCCAAAGAAAAGGTCCGAAGTCCCTGTTTAGAGAGAAACGTAAAACAACAAAAAAGAAATACCACAGCAAAATTCTTCAGCGCTTGGTGTCAACCACAAGTACTACTTAAGTAGACTAGGTGAAAAAAGTTCAGGGTAAAAAAAACGTGAAGTAAACTAGCATTCCAGGAGTTAACAAGGGACCAAAACCTTCCACCACAAGCAGGGGTGCCAGGGAGCAACCAGAGCCCACAGGGCAGTACTGGCTCCCCTGGAGACACTGCCTCAAGGCGATTAAAACGAGGGTGTCAATTTCATAGGGAGTGCAAAACCCCGGAATAAAAACAAATTCTCTCGCTGCAGGTAATGTGATGTGGTTTCTGTTCACGGTTTTTTGGCACAAAACATAGAAATGGGGCAGAGCCCGTTCAGGGCAGGAGGCCTGGCCGTTAAAACCACACCTCAGTGTTTGGGCTGCTAAGATGGTCCCGCTCTGCTGCTGCTCACAAGAAACGGGGCAAAGCCCTGAGCTGGAGGCAGATGAAGGGCCAGGGAGGTGTGCGAAGACCTCACAACTTCAGGCCGCAGTGAGGACACGGTTCTGTGGGAAGGAGTCAGCGAGCCAGCCAGACAGCTAGTCAGCCAGTCAGTGTGTCTGTCAGCCAGTCAGTCAGTCAGTCAGTCTGTCAGTCAGTCAGTGTGTCAGTCTGTCAGTCAGTCTGTCAGTCAGTCAGCCAGTCAGTCAGTCTGTCAGCCAGTCAGTCAGTGTGTCAGTCAGTCTGTCAGTCAGTCAGTCTGTCAGTCAGTCAGTCAGTCAGCCAGTCAGTGTGTCTGTCAGTCAGTCAGTCAGTCAGTCAGTCTGTCAGTCAGTCAGTCAGTCAGTCAGTCAGTGTGTCAGTCAGTCTGTCAGTCAGACCGCGCTGCCCACAGGCCCGCGCGTGCCGTTGCTAAGGCCCCTTAGCAACCGCTCCCCGCCACCGCCCTGCCGCTCACGTCCCTACGTCCCCGCGCTCCGCGGCTGCCGCAGGCCGGCACTTCCGTTCCGGGGCCTCGGGGGGCCGCGGAGGCCGCAGCGGAGGGAGCGGCGAGGCGCGGAGCGGGGCCGGGCCGGGCCCTGCGCGGGTGAGGAGCGCCGCGGGGCCGAGGCCCGCAGCTCGCCGGCCGGGGCTGGGGAGGGAGCGCGGCGCGGGGCAGCTCCAGGCCACGGCCGCCCTCCGAGGCCTTTGCGGCCTCCGCGAGGCCGGGGCAGGCGGTGGCAAAAAACCTGCGAGATTTAAATTCCGAATTGCAGGCAGGCTGCGGAGGGAGACCCCCGCAAGTGATATTTCCCGGGTTTTGGAGATTAACTACAGGTGGAGGGGTTATTTGCATTCTTGCAACTTGCTGTCTGAATCAGGATTTGGATCTTACAGATGGTGTAAACTGCATTGTTGTCTTGTTCTTTTTTTCTTCTTTTTCTTTGTTTTCCTCCTTTGGAGAAGTCTGCTGTACATATTCTGAAGTACCATTTTGAACAGCTGTTATTCTGAGACAAGAAGGGTTTTCCCGTGCCATTTCAACAGCACAGCTCTTATCGGTAGCAACAATGAAGGTGCTTTGGGGCATCACAGTTAAACGCTGCCGTTCTGTAAGGCATCCTATCAAAAAGAATCGGTTTGCAGGTAGGGAATGTCTGTCAAGTTACAGGGCCTTTTTGCTTCTTCAGGATAATTATACATGTTAGCAGAGGCACAGCAAGCTATCACTGAGACATAGTGGATATTTCTCCCTTGGCTTTCTCTGAGATACTTAAAGGCAAATTGCACTAAAGAATCTGTATGCTTTGGTGTTTTTGATATGATTTGGTGTTTATTGGAATGGCCATCCCTGATCTTTCGAAAGTTAAAGCTTGTCACTGGGGCAGGGGGAGATACCAATGCATGCATAAGTATTTATTTTTACCAGAAAATAGGAACTAATTTTTCTGGGATTAGTTAATTTAAATTTATAATGGAAGTTAGCTATTTTGTTTTTGTTGTATGACAAGTAAATTACATTTGTTTTTATCTAAACAATTCATTTTGGATCACATCTCAGGAATTCTTGTTTGTTTTTGTCAAGCATAACTGTTTTGTTAGATCATTTCACAAGTGTGATTCCTGACATAAAAGGCAATTTAAGTAGCCATAAGCAAATATGAGGGATGACTGCTTTCATTGTAAGTGGTGCAGCACCAAGCGCAGAAGGCAGTTCATAACTGCTGGAGGCTGCTCAGGGTCATGAATATGGACTGCTTTGAAGACCAGGGAAGACCTTGAGTAACCTAGTCAAAAGGGTTTCACTAAAGCTGTGCCTGCAAACACAAACCTCTGCACAAAGCAATACTGATTCCGCCTGGATCAGGTATACAGTTGAGATTCTGATATGTTATTGAGAGCACACAGAGAAAACGTTACACCAGCCTCAAAGGGTGAGACAATGTCATGAAGAAAGCATGAAAAAAAAAATACTCTGTCAGTGCTATTAAATCAATATGAACCTGCAGAATGAATCTAGACTGTCAGCACTTACTATCTAGGATATGGAGTACCAAAGCCATGTGTTTGCTTTTGCAAAAAATTTTTCAGCCTCAAGCCTTGCTCCTGAAAAGCTTCTTTTATCTCACAAAGCTCTGTCAAGAGGGATTTCATTCAGGTAGTTTGGCCTGCCCATACACAATAAAATTCATCATAAAGATCCAAGTCTGTGTAGTTAACTTATCTCTTATGGCTTTCTGTCCTGTAGACATTTAATTCCTTGTCAGTAGTCATACCGGTAAGTAATGGAACTGCTTATGCAGGTAACAATTGTCAACCAGTGCTTTTACAAGCTTTTAGACAGGTCCTACCAACAGAAAAAAAATATAATTCAGCACAAGTTAAGTGAATAGAATTAGTTATCTGGGTAAAATTATGAATGTATGTACATTAAGAACACGGAGCTCAAGTTCTTTCTAGCTGTGTACATTATGCTCTCCTGAAATCTGTTTGAAGTTCTTGGTACTATAATAAGTGAACCAGATTATTTTTTCTTTTTCTGTTATAGAAAATACCTTTAAGTATTTTTTTGTTAAGTAGGATCATATAGAATCATTTCCTATAAATTTGTGCATAGTATAATGGATTTTTATTTAACAGGTACATCATATCGTCTGTTTCAGCTAAGCATGTCTTTAAATTCATCTAAGTTTTTGAATGAAGAAAACGCTCAAGGACCAAAAAGAAATAGAGAATGTTTGGAAAGTCTAGAATCGCAGACTCCATCATCATTTCAAGATAACCCACTTCAACAATTACAGTTGGCATCACATAAAGTACTTGAAAAGGCACAAAAAAGTGGGAGATCAAAATGCCCACGATGCAATAGTTCAAGGATGTTTTATTGTTATACATGCTTTGTTCCTGTTGAAACTGTCCCTACCAAAGAAATTCCGACTGTGAAGGTTAATATTTCTTGTGCATCTTTTCTAATATTCTTGTGCCTTTTAGTTACCAGGGATGGAGAACAGACTGTCCCTGACTATTTCTTTTCTGATTCAATCTTTATGAACAGTAATCTTTAACACAGTAGTGGTAATATATGAACAAGCTGCAGTTAGATAAAATTACTGTATTTGAGGAATTACATGTACAAGCGCTGATAATGTTCCACTCTTCCTGTAAATGTTTATGTACCTAATAGATAGAAGATAAGCTGAAGTCACTCAACGTCTCATGCAAATGGCCGTTTACAGTTAGTTTTTAAGTTTCTTTACCTTCATTCTTCAGTTTATAAGAACACTGGCCAGAACACCATGTATTGTGAACAAAAGTGTTATTTGTTCATAAACAAGAATAAATGTTACATAAAATGTGTGCTAGAAGGCATATCTAAATGTCATGGTTATAATTCAGATAACCGCTCTTAAAATATAAATAAGCATAACAATCTTCAGTTACAATATCTGGGGAAACCATCAAAGGTGATAGATATACGTTTTCCAAAATCATTTAGGAACTAAAATGCATTTTGAAGACACTACTCTGAAAGTGTTGTGAAAGAACTTTAGAAGTACTATGGAAATTGGAGCTATTGGCTTTAGGTATGTTTCACTTAAATGGCTGTTTTTGTGATAAAGTGAATACCTAATACAGATGAGTATTCATATTTAGGATCATTATATTGCTAAACTTAAGCCCGTATTTTGTTTATCATTTGATCCTATTTCTAGGGCTTTTAACCACACTACTGTTACAGTGTTCCAAATTGCATTCATTGCGTACTTAGGTATTTACATGAATTGAGAGAAAGTAACGAGTCTTGTCGCTTGTCTCTAGTTTAGTTCTAAATCGACTTAAAAGTATCATGGTAAAACTATTTAAGGAAATACATTAATTACACGCCCATAGGATTTCTCCTGGATTTTGTATAAGCTTTTGTGTATACATATGTGATCATAAATATTTTTCTTTCTTACTGTAGTTACCTTTGAAGATTGACATTATTAAACACCCAAATGAAACAGATGGCAAAAGCACCGCTGTGCATGCTAAGCTCCTGGCACCTGATGATGTTACTATCTATAAATACCCTTGCATTCCAGAATACAAAGAAAAAAGACATGAAGTAAGAAATTCCATATAAATAACAAATGAGATATTAACTTGGATTTATATGCTAATTTAAATTGAAGTTAATCTGAAATCTAAGATTTACACATCCAATCCATTATTATTTGACTACATGAAAAGGAAAAAAGTGTATGTATTTCAAAGAGATGTTATTTTCCTTAAGGAATGAGACATCAAGGAAGGAATAGTTGGTACAGAGGCAGAAAGATGAAAAAAAAAAAAAAAAAAGCAGAAAGAACAATGGAGAAGGCAGGCAAAAATGAGAAGAGACTGCAGTGACTTCATATTCTGGGCTTTCCAAGCCACAGATTCTGAATGCCACAAGAAGCTACTGAAAAAAAAATGAAGTAAAGCAAATCACTTTCTGTTGTAAAGTATTTGTGGGACCTACAATAGACAGAAGGAAAGAACAGATTATTTCTTCTGATCTAGAGTCTATGAATGAAATCAAGGTAAAAGCTGTTCTTTATGGCCTTCTTGCCCCATACATTGCAGCAACAAGTGAAATAGAGCTCCTTCAGATATGACACCATTCATTGTCTTTGATGAAAAAACTTTTGTACAGAAGCATTAGAATTGGTACTAAAGGCACAGATGTGACACTTAATTAAAAATGTATGATGTCTTTATTCTTTATTTGAATACCATCCTTTATCCTTTTAGATGACAAAAGATAAAATATTTCTAAAATATTAAAATATTTGAAAAGATACTCTCCTCTTCTACTTAATGTTTGTGGGTGGGGATGGAAAGTTTCAGTGCTTCAGTGCAGTGAAACAATTCCTAGTGTTCTATTAGCATACTAGATTTTGGTAATACTGAGATTTTTTTTTGTTTTCTTCATTTAGATAGCACTTATCTTTCCTGGCTCCAATTCAGTTTCAGTAAAAGATATTGCTTTCCATCTCCAAAAACACAGTAAGAAAGCTGTTTGTGACAATGATGATGACTGTTCCAGAGAGCCATTTCTTAAGCAAGCAAAAATAGAACCTAAAGAAGAAGAAAACCTAAGTGAATTTATCGCAAGCAACAGGAATGAAAGCACTGGACTGAAGAAAATAATATTTATT